TTCTCGGGACGCCATTATTCAATCGAGAGGTAAATATTGAATCCGGATTCTGCATTTTCGATGAAGCATCTCGATGACATTCCTTCCACTCCGGGCAAATTCAAAATGGACAAATCTCCCTACTTCCACCGCACGCGGTGGCAATCCTCCGTCGCCAAGCTCGCCTTTTGGTCCCTTGTCTTTGTTGGTCTCATCTTCATCTTCTTCTACCGATCTCCCTCCTCCAATCCCGTCTCCTCCGATCCTTCTCGCCGCTCCCTTCGCACCTACTCTTGGGGTGGACCCGCCTGGGAGAAACGGGTCAGATCCTCCGCCCGAGTCCGTACCCGCCACGGTGTCTCCGTTCTCGTCACCGGAGCCGCCGGTTTCGTCGGCACCCATGTTTCCGCCGCCCTCAAGCGACGTGGAGACGGCGTTCTCGGACTTGATAACTTCAACGATTACTACGATCCGTCTCTCAAGAGAGCCAGGCAAGCCCTTCTCGAGCGAAGCGGAGTCTTCGTCGTCGAAGGAGACATCAACGACGCAGCTCTCCTCAAGAAGCTCTTCGAGGTCGTCCCTTTCACCCACGTTATGCATCTCGCCGCTCAAGCCGGCGTTAGGTACGCCATGGAAAACCCAAGCTCCTACGTCCACAGTAACATCGCCGGCTTCGTCAATCTCCTTGAGGTCTGCAAATCGGCCAATCCCCAACCCGCCATTGTCTGGGCTTCCTCTAGCTCCGTCTACGGATTGAACACCAAAGTCCCCTTCTCCGAGAAAGACAGAACGGATCAACCTGCTAGTCTCTATGCTGCTACTAAGAAAGCTGGAGAAGAAATTGCTCACACTTACAATCACATCTATGGCCTCTCCCTCACCGGCTTGAGGTTTTTCACGGTGTACGGTCCTTGGGGAAGACCGGACATGGCCTACTTCTTCTTTACCAGAGACATTCTCAAGGGGAAAGCCATTTCAATCTTTGAAGGTGTCAACCATGGCACGGTAGCTAGGGACTTCACCTACATTGATGACATTGTCAAGGGGTGTTTAGGGGCTTTAGACACGGCCGAGAAGAGCACAGGGAGTGGGGGTAAGAAGCGCAGTGCTGCTCAGCTAAGGGTTTTCAATCTGGGCAACACGTCTCCGGTTCCTGTCACTGATCTCGTCACCATTCTGGAGAGACTTCTCAAAGTGAAGGCCAAGAGGAACATTATGAAGTTGCCGAGGAATGGCGATGTGCAGTTCACTCATGCCAATATCAGTTCGGCGCAGAGAGAGCTCGGGTACAAACCCACCACCGATCTACAAACGGGTCTTAAGAAGTTTGCGAGATGGTATATGGGATACTACAGTGGCGGAAAGAAAGCTGCAGGATGATTGTTGATCCCCTGAGATTGTAGCTGTGTAAGACTTTTTTTGATTCGAGATTCTTGTGATTGTTTCACCTTTTTAACACTTGCTTCTTCTGTTGGTTCTTTGGCCGGCTCATACTCTTGTCATTTCCGTGTATGTTCAACAATTTATACTCCACGAGAACCATAGATTTGAGATTACTACTACATTCTTTGCTCTAAATCTCTTAGCTAATTGCCAGTTCAGTTCACTATAATGGTATAGTAATGCTTTAAAAAGGGATGGTTCCAAAAGTGATGTTTATGATCATACCAAAATACGCGCATAAGGTTCAAAAGAAAGAGGCAAATACATGAAGAGTAAAGTTCAAAAACAAACGGGAAGCAACAAACTTGTAGAATCTTCTTCCATCTCCCCAAAGCTGATCCTATTCCAGCTTAAGCCACCAGGGTGCTGGCGGTTGTCGATTCGCTGCAGATGCAACAAGTCAGGGTTAAAGTATGTTCAGATAAATACTTTGATGCAAAAGAATAAACTATTGGGTTATAGATAAGGCAGTGAATGAGCAAGTTGTTTAGGCATTTAGGGAATAATAGTTGATAAGCAGCAGTTCCAACCAAAAGCAGCCATATATTGCAAGATTCCTTCAGCCATGGAAACACTAGGAGTGAGAGAGAGGTACTCACTACTTCCAGACAGGAGGGAGCTTCTTAGTCTTCTTGTAATAGCGAGCAAGGCGGTGAATCCTGCTCTCAACCAAGATAAGCCTAAACTTGGAATCCTTGTCCTTCCTGTTCCTCTCCAGATGCTTACGGATGGCCACAGCCTTCTTAATCAGGTGGTAAAGATCCTCAGGGATCTCAGGAGCAAGGCCTTGCAAAGTTGAAATACATTACATTGTAATAATCAGTAAGAAGTGACGAAATGACAAGGAGAAAATGAAAGACTGGAGAGTGAAAACACACCATGGGCTTTGAGTATCCTCAGGATCTTGTTTCCTGTAACACTCTTGACCTGAGGAATACCGTGCGAGTCACGAAGAATGACACCAATCTGTGATGGGGTCAATCCCTTTTTGGCAAATTTGCAGATTGATTCATCAACCTGTAATGTAAGGCAGATTCGTTCAAGCTCGGATTCGACGCTTAAGAACTATTGAGATCCCAAGTGTGGCAGAGATAATAGATAGGATCTTACATCCTGAGCGGTAGTCTTGAGCCAGCTCGGAGACGATCTCTTGTACGGCAACGCAGAAGCTGAAATACCCTTTCTACAAAAACAAAACCAACACCATGTTAGATTTGCACAATTAACGTAACCATG